TGTGGATCCGAAAATAGCAATAATATTCCTGGATTGGTAGCGCCCCCAGAGGTAGTCATTTGTGGCGAACTGGGTTACCAAATTTCGCGTGTTCTTCGTTATTAATTTTCGTGTGCGTGAATTAAATTCCTAACAATTGGTATCAGAGCCCTAGTTTCGAAGGGTGATCTCACGATGGCAGACAATTTGAAGACACCGGTGATGCAGTTTGACGAAACGGATTACGGATTATGGAAGCTGCAGATCGAAGATTACCTGTACGGTAGAGATCTGTATTAACCTCTGGATGATAAGCCGGAAGACATGAAGGAGAGCGATGGGAAGTTGCTGGACAGAAAAGCGATGAGCGTGGTTTGATTATCGCTGTCCAGAAACATCGCCCCGCATACCGTCAAAGCAAAAACGACGAAGGAGATGTTGCAGATTTTGTCGGATATGTACGAAAAACCATCCGTCGTGAACAAAGTTCATCTGATGAGGCGTCTTTTTAATCTAAAGATGTCAGAAGGTCTGGGGGTGGTGGATCATCTCAACGAGTTCAATGTAATCACTACACAGTTGAGCGCGGTTGAGATTAAATTCGATGACGAAATTCATGCCCTTATTTTGCTGTCTTCTCTCCCAGAAAGCTGGAACAGAACGATGACTGCAATCAGCGCTTCTGCGGGGAAGGAGAAACTGAAGTTCGATGAAGTCAGGAATATGTTGGTCAGCGAAGAAATTCGGAGGAAGGAATCAGGCTTAGCTTCTTGATCGGCGTTGAGTACAGAGAACCGGGGCAGAACGAAGTCGAAGTCCAAGTCAAATCGGGATAGATCAAGATCCAAATCCAAGTCAAACAGCAAGGGCAAGAAGGACAGAAGTCAGATCAAGTGCTGGAATTGTGAGGAGTACGGACACTTCAAGAGCCAGTGCAAGGAGCAGATCAAGGATCAGAAGGAGAAGACATATGCCAATGCAGCGGCAGAATCATCGGGTGATGATCTCCTGATCCTGAGCGTGAGCAGTCCGTTGGAGTCATGGGTTCTAGATTCTGGAGCCTCATTCCATTCATGCGGTAATTCTGAAGCGATGGAACAATATACTCCTGGCAATTTTGGAGAAGTGTATCTTGCTGATGGTGAGCCTCTTAAAATTGTCGGGAAGGGGACAGTCCACGTGAAGACTCTGAACGGATGCATGCTGAAACTGAATGGCGTCCGACACATTCCTGGTTTGAGGAGGAATCTTCTTTCAATTGGGCAGCTGGATGAGGAAGGTTATGCAGTTGCATTCGGCAGCAGAAATTGGAATATCACCAAGGGAGCCTTGCTGGTTGCTAAAGGGAAGAAGGAAGGTACGTTGTACATGACAACGAACTCAAAGGACTGCATTGATGTTGTTGCCACTGCAACAAACGATGTAAATTTGTGGCACTGTCGGCTCGGTCACATGAGCGAAAAGGGGATGAAGGAGCTGTGCTCGAAGGGCAAACTGCCCGGCCTAAAAACGGTTGAGGTTGGCTTATGCGAGGACTGCATATTCGGGAAACGGAAACGTGTCAGTTTCTCAAAGGGAAGGCAAGCTATCAAACCGGAGAAGCTGGAACTAGTTCACACCGACCTTTGGGGACCTGCAAAAATTACATCTTTAGAAGGATCCTCCTACTACATGACCTTCATTAATGATGTCACAAGAAAGGTATGGGTTTATTTTTTCAAAAATAAATCTGATGCCTTTGATGCTTTCAAGAGGTGGAAAGCTCGTGTTGAGACAGAGACAGGTCTGAAGTTGAAGTGCCTTCGGTCAGATAATGGAGGTGAGTATGAAATAATTTTGTGCTGAGAATGGGGTTCGTATGGAGAAGACAACAAAGGGGACTCCGCAGCATAATTGCGTTGTTGAACGCATGAACAGAACACTGAATGAGCGGGCAAGATGCATGAGGTTGAAGAGTCGCTTACCGAAGATGTTTTGGGCGGATGCGGTGAACCGTGCGGCTTTTCTCATCAACAGAAGTCCAACGATCTCGTTGGAGAATGGCATTCCTGAAGAAAAGTGGAAGGGTAAAGAGGTAAACATGTCCTATCTCCGCATATTCAATTGTGTTGCTTATGTTCATATCAGTTCCGTTGACCGAAGCAAGTTAGACGCAAAATCTGTTAAGTATACGTTCGTTGGATATGGTGGTGATGACTATGGATACAGATTCTGGGATGACTAGAATTTGAAGATTATTCGTAGCCGAGATGTGGTGTTCAACGAACATATTATGTACAAGGACAGATTGAGTGCATCTGATTTTGAGCAAGAAAGTCTGAAGATCACAAAGTTGGATATCTCTAATTCGGGTGGGAGCAAGCAGGATCAAAATGAAGAGTTGAGCAGTGATGAAGATTCATCAACCCCATTAAGGTAGCGGCCTGTCAGAAACCGGAGAGCACCAAATAGGTATTCGCCTTCTAATTTCTATTTGTTGCTTACTGATGGTGGTGAACCGGAGTTCTACGCAGAGGCAGTTCGGGTTGATGACAAGGGCAAGTGGAAAGTTGCAATGGATGATGAGATGGCATCTCTCACATCCAATGATGCTCGGAGGTTAGTTGAGTTACCAAGAGGAAAGAAGGCCTTGCACTGCAAGTGGGTCTACCGCATCAAGAAGGAGGCAGATGGTAGCAAACGCTACAAAGCTAGGCTGGTTGGTATTGATTACACGAACATATTCTCTCCAGTTGTGAAACTTACTACTATTCAGTTAGTGTTGGGGTTAGTTGCTGCAGAGAATTTGTTGTTACATCATATGGATGTGAAGACTGCATTCCTTCATGATGATCTGAATGATGAGATTTACATGGTGCAACCAGAGGGCTATGTGGCGGAAGGCAGTGAGAATCTCATATGTAAGCTAGTGAAGAGCTTATACGGGTTGAAGTAAGCACCGAAGCAGTGGTACAAGAAATTTGATGGTTTCATGCGTGAAATCAGTTTCTTGAGATGTCACACCGACAATTGCTGCTATTACAAGAAGACCGAGAACTCTTATCTTATCTTGCTATTATTATATGTTGATGATATGTTGATTGCAGGAGCTAGTTCAAAGGAAATTGAGAAGCTGAAGAAACAGTTGTCAGAACGTTTTTCCATGAAGGATCGTGGAGAGGCGAAGCAGATTTTGGGCATGCGAATCGAGAGGGATGAGGCAACGGGCAGATTGTATCTTTCACAGGCAGAATACATTCAGAAGGTCTTGAAAAGATTCAGAATGCAAGATGCAAAGGCAGCAAGTGTACCGTTGGGTAGTCACTTCAAGCTTAGCAAGGAAGACTCACCGAAGAACAAGGAGGAGCGTGCTCATATGCAGAATGTCCCATACGTATCGGCAATTGGCAGCATAATGTGCGTGATGGTGTGCACAAGGCCAGACATTGCACATGCGGTGGGAGTAGTGAGCAAATTCATGGGAGACCCCGGGAAAGAACACTGGGAAGCTGTGAAGTGGATCATGAGGTATTTGAAAGGTACTGCTTCTAATGTTTTGTGTTTTGATGGGAAGAATGTAAAGCTGATGGGACATGTTGATGCAGACCTGGCATCGAATGACTCGGATGGATCGAGGAGCACCACCGGGTATGTTTTTACATTTGGTGGAACGGCAGTTTCCTGGCTTTCACAGCTGCAGAAGATTGTTGCATTATCTACCACTGAAGCTGAATATGTGGCCATTGCGGAGGCAAGTAAGGAGATGGTGTGGCATCAGAATTTACTTGGGGAACTTGGGAAGAAGTACAAGAATAACATTCTTTACAGTGACAGTCAAAGTGCTATCTTCTTGGCCAACAACTCGGCTTTTCACAAGAGAACCAAACACATTTGGTTGAAGTATCACTACATCCGTCATCTTTTGGAGATAGAGGCATTGCAGCTTGTGAAGATCCATGGGAGTGAGAATTCAGCAAACATGTTTACTAAGGTGGTAACCTTGGAGAAATTGAAGCTTTGCATAGCTTCAATTGGCCTGGGTACTTGAAGATGAAGGCAATTTCTAGGTGAGAGATTGTAAGGTGTTAGAGACAATTTCTTAATTTATTTTTGGAAACATGTTTCTTAATTTATTTTAGGAAACGCATCCTAGTTGCATTGGGGTTAAGATTTACTTCTCTATAAATACAAGGGCTCTCTCTTGTAATCATTGTGTGTTGATCCGAAAATAGCAATAATATTCATGGCTTGGTAGCGCCCCCAGACGTAGTCATTCGTGGCGAACTGGGTTAACAAGTTTCGCGTGTTCTTCGTTATTGATTTTCGTGTGCGTGAATTAAATTCCTAACACGTACAACCTGCAAGCACTCCAGAAATGTATTGACTTCATTATAGACCTGGACTCGGGCCGGGCGGCCCGGCCCGGAACCGGCCCGGTTACTGTGAGGCCCGGCCCGGCCCGGAGCCCGGTGGGCCCACCGGTTCGGTTCGGCCCGGCCCGGCTGCTGGGCGGTTCGGGCTCGGGCCGAGGTTTTGGCGAACCGGCCCGGCCGGTTCGGGCCCGGTTCGGTCCGATTTTTAATTTTTTTTTTTTTTGAATTTTTTTTAACTTTTGGGTTGGATTAGGTATTTTGGGCCATTTGAGGTGGTTTGGGGTTGAGGGGGAGGGGTTGGGGGTTAAATAGAAGAGCCAAAAAAAAAAAAAAAAATTTCGGTTAGGCCCGACCCGGTTTGGCCCGGAACCGGAACCGGAACCGCCCACCGGCGGTTCGGGCCCGGGCCCAACTATCCTGGCCCGAGGCCCGGCCGGGCCCAGGCCCGAACCGGGCCCGAACCGGCCCGAGTCCAGGTCTGCTTCATTATATGTGAGCATAAAAACAATCATTTTCTTGGACATTGTGTCGGGTCTGGCATTAAATGGCAGAGTATATTCTTTTTGTCGTGCTTTGTTTTTTAGTTATCAAGATATGATTCTCAAGACGTACACACATAATCATCACTGCCTCACTCGATCTGACCTTTAAAATATGATACTTGAAGTCTTTTACTCAAACGGAAGAAAGATATTATTAACTCAAACATCCATGATTACATGAGCCTAAATGAGGTACTTCCAGAATCGTCCATTCTAACAAGAGCGGGCTTGCCCACTTGAACTGCCTTACATACAAATGTCACATCCCTACAAATGTGTAATGGCTAGTGGACAAAAACTTTTTTACTATCCTTGAACAATGCTAAAAATCCTATGAATATGTTAGCTCTTATGGATGGTGCCCCAAATGAACACAACACAGCTGTTGGGAAAATCACCTAACAGAAGTCAGAAGCAAACAATCACCTAATATTACATGATGCACATGTGTTGCGCAAATCTCTATACAGCAGTCTAACTTTTAGTTTTTTGGTTTTTGAACCTCATTCTCAGTTGCTTGTGAAATACCCGGAAGAGGAGTACTAGCACCACCAGCGGTAAAACTTACCGGTTGAGAAGTTCTCGGTGGAGGCTGAGCAAAACCATTGATGTAAGCTTCTTGCTGTGTGTCATTGTTGATTACGATGTCCTTTTGGTGAATCAAGTCTGACGCGCGTGCCATTGAAGAACACTTTGTTTCTGTAGTAGAAAAATTAGTGCTATTATGTTTTCATGCAAATTATAAAAATACAAGTCACCATAAATTTACATTAGAGCTTAAATGAAAATTTCACAATTTGTATGCATTGTATAAAAATGTAATTTTCATGGGGTTTTCTAAATCAACAACGTTAACAATACTTCACGTTTGTCTAAATATTCCTTAATCTAGCCGAGTACATCCTTTAGAAATAAAACGGAACTTCAAATAATATTCTAAGATGTACACAACAAAATTGATCCAAACATAGATTGCATAGACACAGCTATAATCTTCATGTGTGACGGATGATTCACCCGGCATGCTTTGATTGCATAGACATAGCTATATATGTATAGTTTATATCAATGTGTATTCAAATGAGGCATGTGGTATATATTGGTGGCAAAACCCAACCGGACCAAAATCGAACCTAACTGTACTACACAGTAGTTAAAACTTTATAGATGTGGTTTATGAAAACCTTAAACAATATGGTTCTACCGGGCCCTATCTAGTGACCCAAATCAGTAAGACTGAGAGAGAGTAATAGGCCAGATCCAGTCCCTGACCTCGTTCTGACTATGTATGAACTAATTCAAAAAGTCAAGGCCCGACCCAATACCTTTGGTATAATTAATAAAAAATATATGTATGACACAAACATGGCAGACTTTAAACATGGCAGTATTCCCTAAATATGAGTAATTACTCCTATTTAGGGAATAAAAACGTGACAATCCTATTTTAGAATTTCAAAACGTTCTTATTCCAATTTCTGGAATTTTTCCTTTAAAAAATGTCCCTGCCACGTATAGATTCATGGCCAGGAGGGCTTTTTGTGGGGAGGAGACTTTTTATCGCCATATGGTGCATATGGCGCTGCGCCATTGACAGTTATGAAGGCGATGATAGCTGAGATAATTACATATGGGATGGAGATTCAAAGTATAAAGTATATTTTACCTTAGATCAGGAGTGACCACTGGCTTAGGGGTAGCTAATTGCGGGTAAGTTTGACTCACAATACGGGATAACAAGCATGACAACATAGCCTCAACGGTACAGGTAAAATGTGTAGTTCAATAAGTAGATGGTGAGGGCAACAATTAAGAGAGATGGGAGGATTTTATAGTTGGGCTTTTGATGGAACTTCAGAGTTCACATTTGTTTGAGTAGTGATAAGTGTAAAACATGGTTCGATGTTGGCGCATGTGGATGGACCGGTAGTCAAATGAAGACTCAATGAAGGTGAATCGTCTCAAATAAAGCGTTTCTTTAGAGTCGGAAAATAACAACGATACCCCTTTTGGGGGCTTGAAGACCCAAGAAAAATGTGCTTGATAGACCAAGCAGACATTTTTTATCATCCTGGTGTGGTATCATGAACCAAACAAACACATCCAAAAAAGTAAGGTGATAAAGAAATTAACTCATGTGTAAGGAACAAGCAAGAATAAGGAATATCGTTATTAATTAACGACGAAAGCATTCTGTTGGTCAGGAGGTGACATGAAGTGAGAATGGAATAAGCCATCAGCTCAATACTAAGATGGTGTATGAGAATGTAATAAGAGAGTGTGAGGCTGTGAGCAGTATCAACCACATAATAATTCTTTCGCTCAGAAATGCCATTTCGTTCAAGTGTGTAAACGCAAGAAGGCTAGTGGAGTATTCCTCAAGAAGTCATAAATTGATAATAGGGTATTGAAAAGAATTCTTGGACATTATCACTACATAAGATTTTGATAGAACGACAAACTGAGTCTGAATTTCAGCACAAAAATTTGAATGTTTGAAATATTCACATGGTTCTTTCGTTAAAAATAACCGTGTATCGGGAATAGCCATCTTTAAAGGTAACAAAATAACTAAAACCTATAGTAGATTTGACACGATACCGACCCCAAACATTCGTATGAACTAAATTAAAAAGGGAATGTAGCTCTATTATTGACTCTTCATGGGTATGATTACAAGGTTGTTTTCCGAGATGACACAATTCCTAATCTAAGGAGGGAAGACGAGATTAACATGGAATCATTTTTCGGAGTTTTGAGAGGCCTAGATGACCTAAGCGGTTATGTATTTTAATCGTTGATACTTAGCCAATGCAGAAGCAACAGATAATAGAGATAATAGAGACCATGAGACTCATGCCCAACACAAATTATAGAACAATTGAAAAACTGAGTAATCTTGCTAATAGATACAGGATTAAATTATACAAGATTTAATGAAATGTTTTGCACATACGTGACATCTTTTAATGGTATGGATGATCATGGAAGAGCAAAGCTATTCCAATAGTTGGGGTTTGATGTTAAATGTCCATCACAAGCCGCAAGGTGATATACGATAAATGTGAAGGTTTAGAAAAAATGAAAAACGATAGTACTTCGGTCCCTTGAAACTTTGCCATATTTAAAACTTTAAACAACTTTGTTAAAAGTACTTTCCTAAAATGATACTACCTCCGTCCCTTAAAACTTTGCCAAGTTTGACCGGCACGGGGATTAATAAAGTAAAAAATGTGTGGTAGAGGTTTGTGCAGAGGAGAGAGTTAAAACGAGAGAGAATTAACTGGGTGAACCACAAATTCATTACTTAAAAGGGAAAGTGGCAAAGATAGTGGGACAACCAAAAAAGGAAAGTTGGAAAAGTTTTAAGGGACGGAGGGAGTAAAATTTATAATTTCCTTAATATTATACTAATCAAAATCATGGTCCAAACTTTATGAGATGGCAAAGTTTTAAGGAACGGAGGTAGTATGAATTACAAAATATATGATCGGAAGAACCTAAATTCATGGGAAAGATTTAATACCTTGATTTTTTTGTATTGCTCAAGCTCCATAGGTGAAAGAACAGCCGGAGATGATGGCATATTAACTGATTTATCAATGAAACTAAGCATGGTAGACAAAGACAGAATTTAGAATCAGAAACGACCGTCGGCACGGTGGTGCGTGGGATTTCTGGAGATGGTGAAAACGCACCAAATTTTCTGGGATGGTTCACAGGAGGACAAGTTCTTTTCCTGTATGGGCCGTTACAAAATGCTGATTTTTTCCATCATTTTCAATGGAGCCAAAGACTCACTATTTTTTGGCTTGGGAATATGATGGAATAAAGCAAAATGGCTCACTAAACTGTTTGCGCTTCTTTATTATGAAGTAACAGTCAGTTTTGCAACTTGCGGCACTGGGGTAATGATGATGATGATGATGATGATGATGATGATGATGATGATGATGATGATGAGCAACGCATAGGTGGGTTGGGTGAGTTTCTGGTGGTGGGTCACACTGACGTTTCAAGGTGTGTGGTAGTCTTGGTTATGACAAAGTACTACCACAAAGTGCTAGAAAGATGAACTGTTGTGAGAAGGCAGACTGCTGCCGGGAAACTGAAACTACTAAATATTCTGAAAACTATACTAAAATATCAGAACACGTCGCTTTGACCATGTGTAACATCAGACGTTCATGCTTATTGGTTCATCAAAGGACTACATGAGGTCTATATTTATAGCTTCAAGTAGGCCTAACTACAAAAAGTGGGTTGAGCCCAATACACCTAGGGTTAGGGTTTCACCATATTTCGCTTTTATTTTTAAAAAGATGAAAAAGAATTTTATTTTTACCAAATAAGAGACCGGCTAAGCCCAATCTGTCTCATGCCTGGTCTGCTATTTGGCCACTATCAATTTTAGGATTTAGGGATCAACTACAACTTTGACACTTACAAGTAAAATTGATCAACCTAAAAATAGAGGCTTGCCTTTTAGCTTTCCCAAAGTGATAAGTCTATTAAGACAATCACGGAACTTTGTCAAAACAATGCTTTCCTGCTCTGCATAAACTTCAGGCATAGCTTTACCATGAGACATTTGGGAAGATGTGGCACAGCAAAGGCTAGTGGATTCATTAGGAGAACCTGCAGAAAACACAGTATTCTGCTCGTCACACATTAATGCCAAAGTTCCTGGAGACATTGGCCTTTGCGTTGGCACGTCAACAGCATCCAAACAGGGCTTGCCTGTGCCTCTTTTGTCATCCAGGCTCCCACTGGAACAATTGCTGGGCAAAGCATCCCCCACCACACTTTTGTCATTCACTAGTTGTTCTTGAGATGATAAAGCAACAGATGTTTCTCTTTGTTTTTCTCTTGCACTCTTTTCCTCTGGAGGCATAACAATAGTGTGAAATAAAAAATATCAGTGCAACACCATTGGATTCAAAAGTGGTAGAAACAAAAACATTTTTTATAGCAATTTGCATGTGCATGTAAGAAATGATATCCAATAGATATGGGAAAAGTATTATAGAACGATGGCTACATAATTGTATCATATTAGTACTTTGTTGTACAGTGGAATCATTTTTGTTCAAACAAGAATTTTATTATCTTGGTCCGACAACCATGTCCAAATCATACACAATGGTCATCAAGTGTTTAGTGACTTCAATCTACCATTTTAAATACAATTTTCTATAACAATGCCATTGAAATACACAAGTTATATATATAATAGAAAGCTATTTATGACATCAATTGAAGTCCATTAATTTTGAGAAGTGAAGAATACAACATAAACAGGCTGATCATGTGGTTTAGAGGCAATCTGAAGTGTTCAAAGAAAGTGATGAAATTCTCTTCATTTCACTACACAGTGAGTCCTCAAAAAACAAGTTATTCTTCGACTAAGCCGTAGAACAGCTTCCAAAAAGAAAATATCTGTTCAGATTAAGTACAAAGATAGGCCTAGCTGCTCTGGAAGTAATTGAGCCAATGAGTAGCAAAAGAGAAGAAAGAAGTGCTTCAAATATAAGAGAGGAAAGAGGAGGAAGATAAAGGAAAGGTTAGGTCAGCAATATCAGGTTTCAACTATAAAATAGAATAGAGATGTAGGCTATGAACGTATGGCTTCACGCCTTCACCAAGATCCCTCTAAGGGTCCTAACAGTAATATTTGGGTCACTTTTGTTTCAATAATGGCACTAAGACCCCCTAAACCATTCAAAATTTTCCAATTTCCCCTTCTTACTTTGGTAACAATTACTGCTCGTATTTTTAAAGTTAAGGAAAATTATAATAATACCTCCGTCCCGGCTTAAGCTTCTCGTCAAAAAATGGCACGGTTATTTAGACAATAATTAAATAAGGTAGTTTGAGTATATTTTGAAAAATAGTTTTGATGGGTATATAACATAATGAGGTCATTGATGATAATTGTGATGTTAAAGGTGTGCTATTTTTAATAGGGAAAACTGTCAAATCAGTCGACCTACGATTTTGAAAAAGTCAATTGAGTCCACATACTACTTCTTTAACCAATTAAGTCCACCAAGTGTCAAAAAAAGACCAAGCCTTTTATGCGGTAATTGATCGGTGTGGTAATAGAGTCTCTTGTCCCTTTTTTTTTTAATTCTTTCTTCTTTGTTCCCTGCAACTCTTCGTCTCTTCTCCTCCTTTTCTTCTTTCCTTGTTCTCTTCGTCTCTTCCTTATTCTTTCTCGTTTCTTTCTTTAATCTTCTCTTTTTTCTTCCTTCTTCCCCCTCTACCTTTCCATCTTTCTACCGCCGTAGACCTCTGCCGCCGCCAACTCTGTCGACCTCTACAACCGCCTTCTCCGTCGCCGTCTGGTTGCCATCGAAGAAGAGCAAGGGTTGTCGTCGAGTTTCCTTCTCTGGGCATGAAAGAAGGGGGATAGAAGGTTGGGTGGGATAGAAGGTTGGGTGGGGTAGAAGAAGTAAGTGGAGAAAGAAAAGGGAAAGAAGAAGGGGGTGGGCAAGATTGCAAGAATGAAGGGAGGGGGAGGTTGAATTGGGTGGGGCCGTGGGATAGAAGCAGTGAGGAAGAAGAAGAAGAAGAAGAGATTGAAGAAGAGGGGAGAAGGAGTTGCAGGGAGAAGAAGGGGGGAAAGAAAAAAAAAGGAATGAAGAAGGGGAGTTGCAGGGGGGGACGAATAGGGGGTATGAACCAGAGAAAAAAAGGAAGAAGAAAGAAATAGAAAAGGGAAAAGAAAAAAAAAACAGTATAAAAAGCTTAAGTGGCATCCACATCAGCAATAAAAGGGGTTACCGGTTGTTTACCGGTTAAATGGCAAATTTGATTAGAAGCTGAGACTTTGTATACTTAATTGATTGATAAAATAGTACATGGACTCAATAGACTTTTTCAAAATAGTATGTGGACTCATTTGACAGTTTTCCCTTTTTCATATTTGATGATTAACTTGTCACTTAAGAGTGCTAATTATTTACTAAAATAGAAATGGGAAACTTTAGTTGGGACATCCAAAAAAGGCAAGTGAGCTTAATCTGGGATGGAGGAAGTATATTATACAAATCTAAATTTTTATTTAATGATATAACTCACTGAAACACTTCTGTTTCTATAAAAAAAAATGATTTAGACACTTGGAATAATTGCAAAACGTGACTTGTATAACAAATGATGTTTGTCATTTTGGGTAGCAAGTACATTTACCTGCAAACAGTTTGGCAGCTTGTCTTGAAGAGTACACCAAAACGGAACAAAGTTCTTTCACATCCAGTGGTTGGATCATGTCTGCTAATAAAGACCTTCCAAGAGTAGTAGATACAGTTAACTTAGTTGGCAAACATTTTGGATACATTAAGGCATTTACTTTTACCTGTAAGTAAATTTTGATGGTCCCACTGTGGCTGAATTGCAAACACGAGCATTGGAAATTGAAGACATTGAAGAGGGTGGTATATTAGGTTTAGTATGGTTGGTCTGCAAATGCCAGAAGAAGGTTTAACGACTAGCACTTGTTAGTATAGCTAAGACTTTTGTGTCTGAGCTAACTGCATATTTTAATTTCCCAAAAAAAAGTCTACTAAATATAGCAATGGGTCAGAAGATCTTTGCTGTAAAGTACAGAAAACATTCAACCAATTTACCAGTAGATAATATTTTGAACTTAAGAGACAAAGCCACTATCTACCTGTTGAAACTGCCCAAATGAGTGAACTGGGTTATTCATTGTTGTAGCAAAAAAGAGCTCCTGTCCCTTTCTCTTCTTGCTAACTGGAGGAGAGCCATAACCAGATGCTCCAACAGCACCAGTTATTGCAGCATTTGCTGCCTGCTGCAGATATGAAATGGTGTTTGAATGATCCCCATGGAAGAGAGCCTGCCTCTCTTCACTTCCTTCAAAATTTTTGCAGTCCATGCATTTGCAATTTTCTGAGCATAGAATGTTAGCTTGAAAACACTCACAATATTTTTTAAGACACCCTGATTTTTTGCAGTGGCATCCCTTGTTATGTTTCCCTAAGATTGAACCATCACCGGCTTCCTCCTGAATTGTAAGTAGGATTACATAAATAACAAGATCATCTTTGATAATTATAATAAATGAATTTTTTTATAGAATCAATTACAAAATTTGCCTTTGTTTTCAGTTGTGACAATACCCTACTGTCCCGGATTCCATGGGGACTGCTGGCAATTTTAGGCCTGAATGCATTTGGATTGCGATCCAACGTAGCTTCGACAGCTTCTCGTCTGGCAGCTTCATTTTCAACATTATTAAAACAGTTTCCACAGTTACACCCATCACAATATATGCCTGATGCAAAGCATTCACAATACCTGATCCACAGAATTGGGTGGGAACCATCAGCATATGTAAGCTGGTTGCCCGTGCTACTTTGGTTTAACACCACTTTGGTATATGAAAAAAGCATTTGACAGAAAGAAGCTTACAGTTTTAAGCATCGAGAGTGTTTGCAATTACATTGTTTTTGCTTCTTTGGAGTACCATCTTTTACTTCAGTAGCACTTTGCCTTGGCCGTGCACTTGGAGATTCTGGTTTCCTGGAAAATAAAAGGCAAACTGTGTTTTATACGTAGTAATAACGAGTGTAAAAAATAGGTGGTAAATATCAAAACTTGAACTCCCCATGAATGATATTCTGAACGTTCATGGCTCATGCTGATAAATGAAAAAACAAAGAAACACCACTGCTCTGCAGCGGTGCTACAAAAGGTGGTGATTAAAAGGTTATTTAGCTTTTAGGGGGAATTTGACTTTGCACCCCGTTTTGAAAAAACTTTGACTTTGCACCCATCATATAACATTTTGTGAAGCAAAATTTCTAAATGGGGTGCAAAGTCAAAGTTTTTTAAAAATGGGATGCAAAGTCCAGTATCAGCCAAAAAGTGGGGTGCAAAATCAAATTCCCCCTAGCTTTTAATAGCCTGATCTGAGTTGGGGTTGCTCCTAAGGTTAATAGAGGGTCCGGATATGCACAGCTCATTGGGCTATGGAAAAGAGAGAAGAATATTCTTCATAATTTTCATACATTAAACCACTAAAAAACTCTTCAAGTTAGAACTCCAACAACAAGTAATCTCAAAGGATCCCATCAATCATAATGACAATGAATGTTTCTGGGAAATCACATCGAGTATTACATCACCATTCAATCATAAACATAGCCCATAGGGGTATGGTCTACATTTGCCTAAAATATAAGGCGTAATATTAATGGGAAATTCCTCAATATGCAAGGCATCGTCGCATTTACAAAATCGAACTGTGGGCCAAGTAAGAAAGTCAAATGTCCTTCATCTAACAATGGGTGTACTATTGAAGCCTAATGATACTGGAAAATCAGTATCCTCATCAAGTATAAAAGAAGAATGTTTTGTTGTTTCATTTGAAACCTTCACAGACTCAAAGTCAATCCCCTTCAAGAACTTCAAGCATTCTTATCAGCAACTAACACAGGCATAGCAACAAACCCCACCTCCTAAAAACCTCACTCCACAGAATGTACTAGTATGTTTTAGCCTTTCATGACATCTCAGTGAAGACTGAAGTTATGCATGCAACAACATCCAAGCCTTATTCCCAAAAGATTTTGGGGACTGAAGTTATGCATAAGTAAATAAAAAAATCTATAATCAATAACCAGAAGAATATTTAACAAGTTAGTTTGAATTGATTAAGATATTCAAACAAATCAAAGAACTATGAGACAAACTGTAAAGAAAAAGTTGATGAAAGACATAAAAATCAAGAAAAGAACTACTTAGCACAATTTGCCTCCAAGATCCTTCTTTTAAAGAAGGAAATACTGAATATTACTATAAAATTTGTTACCGCATAAATTACAAACACATACATAGGTCGATTTGAAGGAATGTGGGGTGACGGTGGAGGTTGCTGCATCAATAGTATATGTTGCTGTAGCTGTAATTGTGGCCGGGGAGGATGGCTTGGCTTCGCCACGAGTTGTGGCTGTAACTGAGGCCGTGTGGATTGGCTAGGCCTGGGCACCTGCTGCTGAATTTGTCCATGATGCTCCAGAAAAATTGCCGCTGCAGCACTGCCATCCCCTCCTCCGCCTCCTATACCCGTGAAATCCAGCTGCCTGGCAAGCTTCTTCGTCGGAACATCCACAGATGCTAGCAGCGGTGGCGCGGTGACTGTAGATGCCGCCTCCGAGTGTGACCTCATCGGGAGGAAATCCCCAGCCTCGCAATTCTCCATTCAAACCGAGAACGATTGGCCACGCCAAACAAACTAATAAATATATTAAATCAAATCAGAACTCACATGCCCCCCTCCAAAAATCACGAAACTCCCACGAAGGTCTCCGAATTTCTGATTCTACGGCAGTATTTAGTAAATTGCCTGAATTCAGAATCTATATCCAAACAGTCTCATGGCTTAGCGCAGATTGAAGTCATTGAACGGAGAAACACCTTCAAATGCCGGGTTCAAAATCGTGAGCGTATCGAGCTCAATCTTCTAAAAATAGATCCGTGCAGCAGAAATATACGTCCCGGAATATGCGTGTGTATGTATATCGGACTAAGAAGAAGAATGATTTTTCAGGAACGGAGAAGAATAGGAGCAAGTGTGCCTGTCTCGCTCTTCCTCCCTCTAGCTTTTGAATTTCAATTTCGTAATATTTTGACGGTCAGATTGCGCCAGAATCTCATCCTATGCATTCGGATGGTAAAATCGACGGATGAAATTCATATAGCATTCAAATACTGCTTACTGTTCATTCGATAACATGGTTAATTTGAATTGAATGGGCAAGTGTGTACTTCGATATCTCATTCAAATATTTTTTTTGAAAACAACTAAACTCTTGTATTTTGAAAACATTGAATTAAATCTTAGAACTTTAAAAAATGTTCAATTGAGACTTTTTAGCAGGTTAACAACTGGTTTCCTGTTGAGTCGGTTGAATGCTCACGTGAGGCCGCATGACGATTATATATTCCTTTTTCTTTATTTTCTCCTTTTTCTTTTCTATTTCTCTTTCATATTCTATTCCTAGTTCTCCTCTTCCCAGACTTACTTACCCATCGTTCCCCGTCTTCCCAGTTCCCACGACTTCTCCTTCTTCCTCAAGAGACATGGTTTCTCATCCTTGGCGGATTTATTGTTTACTCAGGTGGCTTCCTCCCTCATATTTTCAAGGTCATGAGCAAACACGGCTCTTCTTGTTGGTGTTGGAAAAATATGTTAAAATTGCATTAAATGGTAATTCTGGGGCAATGTTTTGAGTGGGGTCCACTTTCGATTTGGGTCGGATCAAAGTGATTTCGATTTGTCATTGTGAATGAGAAATTGATTTTCGAAGATCACTCGTTGAAATGAAAAAACTGGGAAAAAAGATGGGTTTCTAGTGTGATTTATCCCACACCGGAAAACCAAGGGACTTTGAACCCCTTATAAAGGGAAGCCTATTTGAAAGAGTTAAGATTACTAAGTGGAAAGGCTCTCTTTGCGCGCAGGGGGGTGCGAATCAAATCCCGAAAATGGAGAAGAAAACCCGCGAATTGCATGCGCGGGTGAGCTGCGGACACGAATGTCGTCCAAAAATCTATCTTTCAAAGATACGATTTAATTTTTGTTTCTTCCCGTAACGTTTTATTTTTCCCCAGAACCAGAAGTGCTTGGACAGAACCCCTTCTGTTTCGAACAGAACGGCTTCGACTTCTTCTCTTCTCCGCAACAAAACTGCTCGGACAGAAGGCCTGGTGTTCTGGTCGCTCCGGACCCAGAAGACCTGGTGTTCTGGTCGCGCACCAGAACAATTCCGCTCCGTTACAGCAGTTAATATCCAACGTTCTTCTCCTTTAATGTGCGCTTTAAATGGACACTTTTCGACATATTAATGCCAAACGTGCTGGACATTTATGTACAACGTTCAAGTTCATTAAAGCCCAAGTTAACACACAACAAATCCTTCTATAAGTAGCTGGCAGGTGTTTTGCAACAACACAAGTTCATACACAGTCTGCACATAGTTTTCGAGCTAAACACACCTCTAGTATTTCGAAAAAAATCCTAAGTGTTCATACTTTGTCCTCATTCGCCGGAACTTTCGTTTGTGTGCTCAAACGATCGTTCGTTAGCCACCGTATCCTGGAATACAGTTATTGCAACGCTCCTTGCATCGTGGGAGACAACGAATATGTTTCAAGGACATCGTGCGTAGCACGAGCTCTGGCTATTTCATGGTCCATCTAATTCCCGATTTTCTTTAGTCATTTAATTAATTTTAATTAATTAATTTTTCTTTGTTTTTTGAAACACCCTCAACAGCTGGGGCCTCCGGCGAACTTCACAAAGGGACGGCAATTCAGGCGAAGGTGGCTCCTCTCCTCTATGTGAACACGAAGAGTCAACGAAGCTGGTTCGGACTTAGGCCATTCACCCCTGTTGTTCTGGGCTCAAATCGAACTGCAAATTTGGAATCTCAAATTGAGATCTTTCGGTGCCGAAAACAATTTACTTGGTTCCTCAGAACTCCTTGGTGGCTTTGTTGTAAGCTCAGGCGGCTTCTTCCGCCGAATAGAAGGTTGAGAAAAAACGCTGCTGTTCTTGCCATAATCTCCGGCGAAATCCGGCACCAACTTCGGCGGCAACACCCTCTCTCCTGTGATGACATCCTCTCTCCTCGCTTTGCCAATGGAAAAAAAGAAGCAAATAGAGAAAGAAATCATGAAAGAAAAAACGAAAAACAAAGAGAAAGATGAGTGTCGATGGAAAGTAAGGTCCCTGGGAAGATGAAAATGAGGAACACGCAAAACAAAAAAAGATAAGGAAAGAGAAAAAAGAAAGGAAAAACCAATAAAGAGAAAAATAAGGGAAAAAGAAAATAGTTGACATGTGGTCTGCCACGTGGCCGCCACGCAAGCAATCAACCGGGAAACTGATATTTTAACCGGCTAAAACACTTAATTGAACGTTTTTTAGAAGTTCGAGGGTTGAATTGAGTGTTTTCAAAGTACGGGGGTTTAATTGACTTTTCTGGTATAGTACGGGGGCTTATTTGACAAATTTTTCTATTTTTGTGATCATATATCTCATTCAAATTTGAATTTCAACCTTGTTTTTACTAACAAAAAAATGAATAAATAAATAAATAAATAAATAAATAAAATAAATAAATAAATAAATTTAAAACGAGGTACAAAACTACAAACTAAAGTTTCGAATTAGAAATTTAGAGGGTATATGAATTATGGTACCATTGGTACGAGGAATTATAGGTAAATTTTGAAAAGTACAAGAATTTTAAAATTTTAGGTACATTTAACTTAAAATTTTAAAAGTTTGAACAAGTTTGAACAAGTTTAAACAAGTGTATTCAATATAAACATTTAAAATCTAAAAAATAGAAGTTAATTCAAACTTTCATTCATTCTAATGCACTTTTAAAATCATGAATTGTCATGAACTTTTAATTCATTCATAGTACATTGAATTCCGTGCAACTGTCTCTTCTTCTCACCAAATATTTTTGTGAATTGTTTCTTTTGTCTTGTACTCATCATAAGAGCATCTCCATTCATGATTTCTAAATAAAGAGATTTTTTAGCCACGTCACTGCCGCATACAAAATCTAAAATAATCTTAAAATTTATTAAACCCCCTCAACCATCAACTTTAATTATGAAGTTAGTTGTAGGACATTCACCAAAACCAGCATAGCTACATACGTACATAAATTTATGCACCATTACTATATTGCACGATTAATAAAAAAGGTCAAAGAAGTTCCCTATTTAAAGGCCCATACAATCCCTCTTTCCAATGTTTTAAACTTCATATTTACTGTTTTTCATTGATTCACACGAATGAGCAAAAAAGTAGGACAAACATCCCTAAATAATATAGATTTAATATTTGATACCAGCTTTTTGAGAAAATAATCTTTCCAAATAATCTCATTTTCTCATTCATAATCTCAAAGAAAATCATCCACGCCATCCAATTGCTCCCCAAATAATCTAAACAATGAGGATGTCCTAAGTACACATAGATCTAGTTCCATAATTGTATCATAATTGAATGATTATTTACCCCGAATCACAAAATTGATCAATCCGTCCTAGACATGTTCCAGATTGGGGTGGGTACCAAGATGGTCTCAATATGCAAGGTTTGCAAATTATAATTTGATTTTTCATCACTTTATGATAAATAAAATCGATGAAAGAGATTTTACCTCAATTCTCGTACATAAGATGAATTTAAATAAAAATCAAAAATTGATTTTTTTTATATATCATCTTACAAAGAAAATGTAGGGGTGAGATCGGTTCGGTTCTTCGAAAGAAAATTAGTGACCTATGAAGAACCGTTAATTCAATATCAGTTCGCTTCATTTTTGGAAGTACCGCTATAAGAACCAATAGTATTATATCAGTGTCATTCTTGCGTGTTATCAGTTAACCCCTAAATAATAAAAATATATTTAACTATTATTGTGTTTCATCGTGAAATTGCTAAGACACAAAAAAAATTCAAACTAATAAATATTTAACCGTTCATAAGTAAACATATTTTAATAAGCTAGAAGTTAAAAGAAAATAATAATAATAATAATAATAATAATAATAATAATAATAATAATAATAATAATAATAATAATAATAATCGAAGAAAAGGTTTATAGCACATGTGCTCATACCGCATGTAGCAATGACTCAATAAGTGTAATAGTTGTGTAACGATGACTATTTTTTGTAATTTACTTGTATACTATAACAATGGATCACAATGGGACCGAGTTTGTGAGTCACTCTCCCAGTTTTAAGTTTTATAATCAATAAAAATAAATCTAGATGCTTAGACCTAATTTACTCTTATATAAGTCCATATTAATAGATGAATTACATTTGTTTCTTTTATTTTTTTTAAATTGTTTCTTGTCATTCATATAATCATGTAGTTGAGTAGTTGACCTAACTTTAACATGCTTCTTGTTAAAATTGTGTTTTACATAAAATTGATAAGTACCATTCATACGAAATCCATGTGTTAATTTATAAATAGCATGTAATTTTTTTTATTCTGACGTGTTATATTATACATTATTGAACAATAACGTCAACATTCCTTGACCGGAATGTAACTCAAACAAGGTACCCGATCGGGTACCTTGTTTGTACTCGATCGGGTACCCGAGCCACACTCCCAAAAGCCTATAAATACACTCCCCTTCCTTCACAATTAGATTACCAATTCCTATATACTTCTAAGCTCAGTTTAGACAAGTTATTTCTTTACATTTTCTTCATGTTTAGTCTCCTAATGAGGAGATAAACTCTTCCATCTTGGCTTTGCTACTTTGAAGCTTAATGAATTGTAAGTTGTGAGTTATTTTCTTTAATCTTCTTCCTTGAATATTAATTAATTCCTATTCCTATTTCATATTAATATTTTGAGCATTACTTAAAGGATTAACTAGTTTTGTTTCATATATTAATTAATACTCGAATCGGTCGATTAATACGCTTGTTATTAATTCGATCCTTTCACGGTAGTAAACTTGGGTTGTTAATGCATGTGTCTCATGGTTAATAACCTAAGGGGAATTAATTATATTGATTACACTGGTAAACCGCTTGTGTTGAGGTTATCAATCTCAATCGTTTTCATCTTGATTTTATTGCTACTATCGAGTAAATATACGGCGCGTGTTCTATATTGACTCGGTAGTAAGTTTTATTAATGAACGCGTCTCGTTATTAATAACTACCCTCGATGAAATGGATATACTCCTCGATTGAGTATTCAAGAGGAAGATAGTTAAAGATATAACTGGGATCGATGAACATTTCATTAAGTGGATAAAAGCAAAGCCAAGTCTCCTTCTCATTAATTAAACCACATAACTCGTTCATCTTCGTGCTTAAATATAATTTAAGTTCATCAACCAAATATAAAAAAACCCTGTTATTACTTATCTATTTCTATAAAAAGAGAAGTGTTCATTTCCCTGTGGATACGAACCTTACTACACTATACTATGTATCAGTGTTGTATTGATTATTATTTTGAGTGCACACTACGACAAAGTGCACGTCAGGTCACCCAAGAGCAGTTCTGGCACTGAATGACCCAGTCCGGTGTTACAAGACGGATGTTGTTTTTTAAAGTGAAACATTGTGTTGTAGCAAAAAAGTGGATGCAGTACGTAGGAAGTTGGGTTTCAGTGCTTTTTTAGAGGGATGGTAGAAGTGGGGGTAAATTATATCGTACCGCCGGTGGTACGTACATCCGGCGGTTTTTGCTTAGCATTAGGTTCGTTCGTTGCTTAATTACTCTGTTTTCAGTTCTTTGTTTTCTTTTTTGTTTTATTCGGTATCAACTTTTTGTTTTCTTTGGGGTCTTCCTTTTCAGGTTTTTGTTTTCTTCTTTAACAATTTTTTGTTTTAATTTCAAATTAAATTATTTTGAAAATCTATAATATAAAATATTACTTAATGTCCCAGATTTTCTCTTTTTCCAATCAACTTTCTAACTTAGTTTTTTTTGTGTAATATAAAATGTTTTAGGTATTTATTTTTTATTTTTCTATTTTTTATTTTAATTATATATCATTATTAGTTATTATATACGGAGTATTGTGTTTTAATTACTCAATTTTGTTTTATACAAAAATGAGTACAAATAAATGTGAATGAGTAAACATTAATTATAAAAAGAAGAGGATTATATTTGTAATTCAATAAAAGAAAGTTTGATGCTCAATGAAAATGTTTTGATGTTTAATTAACAAAGTTTACGATTTCCATATCAATGTTCTTTTTGTAAATTATGTATGCTCATTTGGTACTGATGTTATGATCATTTTAAAATGTTATATCAATTCATATTTCAAGAGTTACATATTAAATTAGATTGAAGTAGGAGTTAATTACATATACGAGAGCACATACCATGATATTCAATTGCATGTTTTTAATAATCAATAGAGGAAATTTGATGCTCAATTAAAACGTTTTGATGCTCACTCAACTAAAAAAAACTTATGATTGTCATACTAATGCTCATTTTATAACATACTAATGAGTTTTTGAATTTTTCAATACTCATTTTGTAAATTATGTATGTTCATTTAGTATCTCTGTTATGCTCATTTTTAAAATGTTTTAGCAATGCACATTTCAAAAGTCTCATATTACATTAGATTTATATAAGAGTTGATTATAGACACGAGACCACAAATCATTATACTTAATCGCAGATTCTAATACTCAATAATGGGGATTTAATGCTCACAAAAAATGTCTTGTTGAACAATAAAAAAATATTACAATTTTCATATAACTACTCATCTTGTAAGTTACACATACTCATTTGTATAGGTCTAATGCTCATTAATAGTTCATTAATGCTCATTTAATAGAAATCAGGATTTTCATCAATCTCAATAGAGAAGTTTTGATGTTGAATGAAAATGTTGTGATGTTACATATGCTCATTAATACTCATGTTGTAAGTTACATATGCTCATCTGATACTCATTTTATGCTCATTTTCTAAATGTCATATCAATGCATTTTTTAAAAGTATTATTTTATGATAGACTCCTAATACTCAACATAATAGGTTTGATGCTCATTAAAAGTTCATTATTGCTCATTCACAAGATACTATGATTTTCATCTCAATAGCAGATGTTTGATGCTCAATTAAAATGTCGTGATATTTAACTAACAAACATTACGATAAAAAATAACAAAAAGAAAGTGAATTAGAAGTTTGTAAAGCAGAGATCACGATTCTGAATATTAGACTCCTAATACTCAACAGAATAGTTAGGGTGCTCATTAAAAGTTCATTATTACTCATTCTCCAGAAGTCGTGATTTTCATCTCAATAGTTGAGGTTTGATGCTCATTTAAAATGTCATGATGTTCAACTAACAAACCTTACGATTTTCATATCAACGTGCACTTTGTTAGTTATGTATGCTCATTTGATACTAATGTTATGCTCATTTTTAAAATGTCATATCAATGCATATTTCAAAAGTATCATATTATATTAGACTCGCATATGGAAATTAATAGGAGTGAATTTTAGATATAATTTAATACGGAGTAAGTTTTTATAACAGAAAAAATAGAAGATATGAAGCAGAGATCGTGAAACTCATTATTAGCCTCATAATACTCAATATAATATGTGAGATGCTCAACAAAACTACAATATTGCTCATTTAGCGGGAGCCATTATTTTTCGGTGAAATTACAAAACTGCCACCGAAAAAAATAGGCTGTTTTAACTAAATGGACTGTCTTTCTTTTATTTGGACCTTTTTATGGGCCTTCCGTGAGATTCATTTAATTCTATTCAAACTGGGTTATTAAAATGGACTGAAGCTTAAAAAAATTTAAAAAACAAAACCGGATGTACGATTCTCACCCATACATCCGGGTGTACGATATACATACTCAGAAGTGGGGGAGTAGTGGTTATGTGGAAAGCGGGAGCTCAAGTTGAGATTCTTAACTACTCGAAGAACTTTATTAATGTTCTAGTTAAGGACAACACGACTTTACCCTGGCGGCTCACAGGTTTTTATGGAATTCCAGATAGAAACCGCAGACGAGAATCTTAGGACATACTCAGATTTTTAGCACAAAGTAACAATCTTCCTTGGTGTATCATTGGAGACTTTAATGATATCCTGGAGCAGGGGGAGAAAAGGGGCAAAGTGGAGCATCCAAACTGGTTGCTTCAGGGGTTTAGAGAGGCCACTTGTGATTGTGGTTTGGTGGATATCCCTCTACAAGGAAGGCCGTTTACTTGGAGGCGTGGCTTAAATACTGAAGATGCAGTAGAAGAGCGTTTGGACCATGCCATGGGTACAGAAGCGTGATTACAGAAATTTCCTTTTTGCAGTTTGAGGAATTTAGTATCTTGTCACTCAGATCACTCTCCTATCTTACTATCCACTGAGTCACAAATTTTCAGCTTTAGAAAGAGAACTTTTAAATTTGAAAATTCATGGTTGTTGGAGCCGGATACTAATAAAGTAGTGGAAGATGGATGGAGCGCTCGTTCTGGGGACCCTTTATTGTTAAAGATAGAAAAATTTACTCGCACTTTGGATGCATGGGGGCAGAAGATTAGGACGAGATACAAGGAACATATTGATAAATGTAAGAAAAAGCTGGCTGCACTCTACAAACAACTAAATGAAGAAGCAGATACGGAGGCTTTAGCTGTTAGAGACCTATAGAGAATATAAAAAAATAGAATAAGTGTAATAAGTGTTTGGGAGGGATTATTAGATAAGGACTATGGCTGGGTGGCTGAGGTCTATAAATAGAAGTTAGAAAGATGTAATACGGAAGCGGAATTTGAATTGTAAAGTGTAGCCCTAACTGTTGCCTAGGCCGATGGCCATTGTTGCCTTTTCTTGAATAAGAAGTTGCCTTGAGTTCTTGATTTCCTTTGTGTATTGTTAGATTGATCTTGCAGATCCTAACATTGGTATCAGAGAATATCGATCACTGTGAATGGTAGTGACGAGAACCAAAATGGAAGCCAGAATGAATGAATTGGATGAAAAGATGGAAAGATCGCGACAGGAGACTAGAGATATGTTCGCGGCTCTTCAGGCATCGATTGCCAGATTGGAATCGCGAGGAGAAAGTCGATCGCGTAGCAAGTCGCACGCTTCGCATCGATCTTCGCACCGATCATCGCGACCTTCATCGCTTCAGTCAACGTGACCTTCAGCGAAGCATCATTCGAAGAAATCGATGGACAGTTCCGACAGTTCAGATAGTCAACCGGAGTACGCATCAACTCGCCAACATCATCAACCTCGCCAACATCAACAGACACACAGGAAGGTTGATTTACCTCTATTTCAAGGTGAAGATGCTTTTGGATGGCTTGTGAGGATCGAACGTTATTTTCGCCTCAATAACACGGAAGAGGAAGAAAAAATAGAAGTGGCAGTAGTTGCCATGGAAGGAAAGGCGCTGGGATGGATTCAATGGTGGGAAAAACAAGCTAGAGAAAGGAATTGGGAAAAATTCAAGAAAGCAATGATCAGGCGATTTCAACCAGAGCTCATTCAAAATCCATTGGGGCCTTTGTTGAGTCTGAAGCAAAGAAATTCTGTACAGGAGTACAAGGAACAATTTGAAAAAGCTATTGGATCGCAAGAGAATTTGGACAGAAAGGTAATGAGAGCTATATTTCTGAATGGATTAAAGAAGGATATTAGAGCAGAAATGAAGCTGTATAAGACCAAAGATCTGGGGAAAATAATGGATAAGGCACAGGTGATTGAGGATAAGAATGAAGAAATACTGTCAAGAAGAAATAAAGAAGAGGGTAAAAGACCATGGAAGAACATTACAATTAAAGGAAGCAGTGTTCATAAAGGGGAGGAAGGGATTAGAAGTGGCAGTAATCCAATTCTTACACATTCTGCTGGTGAAGGTTCCAGTTCTGAGAAAACAGGCCCCAGATTATCCCAACAAGAATTAATGGAAAGGAGTAAGAAAGGTTTATGCTTCAAGTGTGACGAAAACTGGAATAGGGGGCATATCTGTAAGATGAAAAATTTCAGAATGGTTTTGATGGAACTTTCTGAAGGAGAGGGAGAAACTGAAGTGGAGGACAGCAGTTCTGAAGAAGAGGGACCTCACCCTGAACTCAAATCATTGCAATTATCTGTGCTCAACAATGAAGATATACAGTCTTGGAGAACTTTTAATGTAATAGGATTACTAAGCTGGTTTTCAGGAGATAAACCAGTAAAGGTCCTCATTGATTGTGGTGCTTCCAACAATTTTATCTCACAGAAATTGGTGGATGAGTATAAAATTCCTTTCCATCAAATCAAAGGTTATAGGGTCCAGACTGGTAATGGAGAGTTCATTTCCAATAATGGCAGATGTATGGGGCTGAAATTAGATGTTCAAGGGAGTGTAATACAACAAGCTTTCTACATCCTAGAGTTAGGAGGGACAGAATTGGTGCTAGGCATGGAATGGTTAACTCAATTGGGAAATATGGCAATCAATTTCAAATACCAGTCCATCACTTGGAAGCAAGGCAATCAGATCTGTTCCATAAAAGGGGATATAGCTCTGAATGAAAAGGATGTTCTTCACATAAACACTGCACAGATTATGCAACCAACTGTGGATTGGTATCTACTGTGTTGTAAGGATAAAGAACAAGGACAGAACATGGAACAGAAGATTAGTGATCATGTTATCCAGACCAAGGAAGGTGCTGACTTTGTATCTTCAGGCACGAAAGGTGGTTCAGTTCATGTGTTGCATCACAATAGCAAAGAGGCTCTGGAAAAATCTGTGAGCTGGAAAGATCTATTAATGAAGCTTTTATATCAGAAATTTGTGGAATATTGGAAAGGCAGGAGTACCAGAATGAAGAAGAAGCCGGAAGTCTTGGCTGTTACCTTTCACCCACCTTGAGGGCAAGGTGGATGTTTAGGGGGGGAGATATGTTAGAGACCTATAGAGAATATAAAAAAATAGAATAAGTGTAATAAGTGTTTGGGAGGGATTATTAGATAAGGACTATGGCTGGGTGGCTGAGGTCTATAAATAGAAGTTAGAAAGATGTAATACGGAAGCGGAATTTGAATTGTAAAGTGTAGCCCTAACTGTTGCCTAGGCCGATGGCCATTGTTGCCTTTTCTTGAATAAGAAGTTGCCTTGAGTTCTTGATTTCCTTTGTGTATTGTTAGATTGATCTTGCAGATCCTAACATTAGCTCTTCGGGAGGAGCTTGCTCATCTCCTTATACAAGAGGATGCTTTCTGGAGGCAAAGGGCAAAGGTTTTCTGGATGAGAGATGGAGATATGAACACGAAGTTTTTCCATGCGGCAGCAACAATAAGAAAAAAGAAGAATAGAATTTCAAATTTGATCTGAGAAGATGGCACGTTAGCAACAACAAAAGAGGACCTTTGCTCCATAGCAAAGGATTACTTTATTAACATGTTTTCTTCTTCTATGACAGATTATGATCGAGTGCAGAAAGTCATTGAAGCACGTGTGGACGAGGAAGCAAATAACATGCTGATAGCCCCTTTCATAAATAATGAATTTAAGGCGGCCATATTCCAAATGCATTCTAATAAAGCCCCGGGTTCGGATGGGTTGAACCCAACTTTTTACAAGCGTTTCTGGGAGTTATGTGGCGATGATATTGTTTAAGCAGGTAAGAGGTGGCTAGAGGAGGAGCAGTTAACTGATGCAGTAGGGGAGACAAATATAGTCCTTATTCCCAAGTGTGATGATCCCAAATATATGCAAGACTTGTGGCCTATTTCTCTATGCAACATGGTCTACAAAATAGTTGCAAAAGTATTGGCTAATAGACCACAAAAAATACTTCCTATATGTGTCTCCACTGAACAATCCGGCTTTGTGTCAGGAAGAAATATCTCAGATAATGTGTTAATTGCGAGTGAAATTATACATCACTTAAAATGTTGATATTAGTAAGGCGTGTGACCGAGTCAAGTGGGGCTATCTTTTCATGATACTACACGCACTGGGGTTTGATAGGAAATGGATCAGTTGGATGAAAATGTGTGTGACTACAGTCAGTTACACAATTTTAGTCAATGAGGATTGCGTGGGGCCAGTTTTTCCAAATAGGGGATTGCGACAGGGAGATCCTCTCTCCCCCTATTTATTCATTTTGTGTGCAGAGGGACTCACAACCCTTATACGAAAAGCAGAAAGAAGCGGAGCTTTGCATGGCGTCAAAATTAGTAGAAGAGCACATTCAATAAGTCATTTACTCTTCGCAGACGATAGCTTCTTATTAAGAATCCTTCTCTATATTATTGTAGATCTTTTCTAGCTGTTCTTTCATTTTGGTTTTTGGGACCAACACTATGCATTGGGCTCAGGCCAATATATTAATCTACAGAAATCTGAAGTGTATTTTAGTAGAAATACTGAAATATCGAAGCTTCAAAGAGGGACCATATTGCTAACATTCTTGGTGTTGCTGCGGTTTTAGGAACAGGAAGGTATCTCTGGCTGCCATCTATGATTGGGAGGAGCAAAAAAGCTATTTTTAAATATGTTAAACATCGAGTTTGGAAGAGAATTTCGGGATGGAGCAGCAAACTTCTTTCAAAAGCGGGTAAGGAGGTACTTATTAAGTCTATGGTTCAAGCTATCCCGGTTTATTGTATGAGCGTCTTTATGCTACCCACAACACTCCAGGAAGAGATTGAGAGGATAATGAACTCATTTGGTGGGGCTCCCGAAGAGGAGAAGGCCGAGGCATTAATTGGTTGAGCTGGGACAAACTGTCTCTTAGAAAAGAGGATGGAGGAATGGGGTTTCGTCATCTACACGCTTCTAACTTAGCAATGTTGGGGAAACAAGGTTGGAGACTGATTTCTAACCCGGATGCTATGGTAACGCGCATTATCAAAGCTAAATACTTCCCGAAAAAGGACTTCTTAGGGGCGGCTGTTGGGCATAACCCCAGTTTTACTTGGCGTAGCATCTGGTCGGCCCGAACATTGTTAAAGGAAGGGTATAGATGGAGCATTGGCGATGACACTTGTATAGATGTTTGGAGGCAGCCCTGGTTACGTGATATACATGACCCATGGGTTCATTCGGGACTGGGTTGCATAAATGAGGAGCTTCGAGTATCTCATCTTATTGAACGGGAGGAGGGAAGATGGAAGGAGAGCTTTATAAGAGAAGTTTTTCAAGATACTGATGCAAATAAAATCTTGCCCATTCCTCTGTTTCGGCTAAATAAGAAGGATACTGTCATTTGGTGTTTTGAAAAAAGCGGGCAGTATACTGTACAAAGTGCCTACCGGTTGTGCATGGATAAATTGGTGAAGACTGATCATCTTAAAAAGCCCGGGCAATGGCACAAGATATGGGCTTTATCAGTCCCTCCAAAGGTTCGTACATTTATGTGGAGACTTGGTCGGGACTGTCTGCCAAACCGAAGTCGGCTTAGGGAAAAGGGAATTTCTTGCCCAACTGCCTTGATAGTCCAGAAAATAACTGGCATATTTTTTTGGCATGTCCTGGTAGTGTTACTTGTTGGCAGAAAGTAGGCCTTTGGAATATCTTAGAGGAAGCATTGTTGCAAGCAGAGAGTTTTGCAGATTTATTTATACATGTCTGCACTAAACTAACAGAAGAGCAACTTTGTACTTTTGCTATGGTAGTGTGGAGTATTTGGAGGCGTAGAAACACCCTTTACTGGGAGGGTACATATGAAAATGACCAGCAAGTAATCACTCGTGGGATGGAATTGCTGCATAGCTGGACAAGTCTTCGAGGCAGACATCGCACCGGATCTAGAGATAACAAAGCTGCTGCAAAATGGAACCCCCCGCCACCTTCCAACCTTAAGTGTAACGTGGATGCAACTATTTTTGAAGATGAGAAGAGGTCAGGATGGGATGTTGTGTTCGTGATCATCGGGGGAAATTTCACCTAGCGCATTCAGAATGGTGCCAAGTAACTTTATCTCCGGCTGAAGCAGAAGTATGGAGTCTTCGGCAATCATTACTATGGAGCCGGGAGTGGGCAAGAGGGCCTATTATTTTTGAGATGGACGCCAAACAGGTGGTTGAAGATGTGCACAGTGATCGGGTGGATATGACGAAGTATGGATCGCTTGTGAGAGATTGCAGATTATTGCTAGCGGAAAATAACAACTTTCATGTTGTTTTTACTAGGCTGCAAGCAAACGGTAGTGCTCAAGCTTTAGCCAGGGCGGATACAAATTATGCTTATAGCATAACTTTTAAAAAATGGGGTACCGTACCGCATTTGATTGGTCCAAATCATTATATACCTTTTAATTTAGATTTAAATAATTCAACTGCATCATTCTTATTGGTCCATTTGGACAAAGGTACGGTACATTTGGGGTACATAGTATTAACCAACTTTTAACTATACTTTGAAAGTTTTAACTATACATTTGGCCTATCACCTCTGTTTTTTGTTTAGTTTTCGAGCACATTGCTTTAGGCACTCGCATGACTGATCGACAACTGCGACACTCAACTATGTTCGTTCTCCAAATCCATTCCGTAGACTTTCCTCAACCGCTTCCCGCCGCCCCTTACTCCCCCGGCGTCTTAAACGCCCCTAATAATATTTCCAATCTGAACCCGGTTGAGCAACGGGGTGTTGCGCACCTCTTCCGACACCTTCCCCAGTCCACATCCTCCACCTACGCCACCGCTCTCACTGGTATAGCTAACCCGATCGCCCGTACGACCACCATCTTTGTTGTTGCTGTTCCGAGTGGTTTATCAGCCCTTGATTTCCTCCTCTTTTGCGGGTCCCATGTCGACCAATTCACAGGAATCCTCTTTCTTAGGTGATGAATTGACACCTGGATACTTGAACTCTTTCTTTAACGATTTTTCTCACGCTTGCGAACAAGAATACAACATGCAGTAACTTGTCTAATTTGATGAAGTAACGCTTTTTAAGCAAATACACATGTTTCAATGCATATTAATGTTTTGCACATTTGTTTGCCCTTGAAAGCATAATACTTCATTCATATATCGCAAGAGTAAGCCAAGTACATAATCTATAGCCAAATATTCAGTTGCATACTCTTTCTTTTTAAATACAGTTTCATAGTGGAGGTATGATTTCAAGATTTGTTTGCTTGTAAAATATACTATGCGTGTAGGTACTAAGACATAGTGTATGCAGGAATGATGTAATGGAAGATAGATATAGTGTATTGATAACATTGGTGAATCAATTAGCTGCAGATGGATTCTATTGTAATTACAATGGTAAAAGGTTCAAGGCCACTGAGGTTTTGACTATTGACTTATCTTGAAGAGTTTCTTTTATTCAATCAATTTGTGCATGATTTATATTTAATATTCATGTTGTTTTGACTATTTAGCACGAGGCTTGCCACATTTATTTTACTCAATCAGTGGAATTCACTGAATCAGCAGAAATAGCCTGCATACCTCCACCGGGTTATACTGAATTACCCACTTGTCCAGTTTGTCTTGGTTAGTGAACTTGGATTATATTATAAATACGTAAGCTGATTTTTTAGTAATATCCACATTTCTCATTGGTTATATTTCCGTAATGATAAATGTCACAACCACAATTTTATCATTTGTGATCGTAAAACGTACAGAAAGACTGGACCAAGATACAAGCGGAATACAGGCTACACTTTGTGACCATTCATTTCAGTGTTCTTGTGTTTCAAAGAGAACATTTTCTTCATGCGAGGTTAGTTTTTCAATATAAATGTAAATTGGTGCTTATCTGTACTACAATTGCAAATTTAACATTTGTTATTAAGAATGCTGGAGATTTATCACGCATTCCTACTATCATAAACCTTTTTTGAACTTGGCGGACTTTGAAAGTCTTAACATATTCTGCTCCCTTTCACTCTAAATTTGCTTGAAGTTGAACCTCATCGGTGTGATTTGTCCTTTTATTTTTGAGTAAAGTCCATTTTAATACTTGCCCCATAAATCTTGTCAACCTAGTCCTTAGCAACAGTGAGCATCTTGTTTATCCTGCCAATGTTTCTCTGGATTGGGAGGATTGTAGCTAGACATTCATGTTTTCCAGGAAAGCACTTATGATATCAGATTTTCATTTTGGGGGTACTTTTTAGTGGAATTTTATGGAGCAGTATGCGTCAGCAACGCGAAGTTTTAACAGCTACAACTAATTAAGTTTGTAATCGTGAGTGTGTGAGGCTTGAATTTACTCGATCAATGGTGCAGTGACTAATGCGAATATTTTTCAATACTATAGGGACCTTTTTATTTCCTTAAACCAATGGAAACATGAAGGATAGAGGGGGAGATTGTGACAAAGGAGAGTGGTGCAGTTTTTAAGAGAAGTAGAGTTATGTGGTTGATAATGAATTGATAAAGTGAGAATAGAGTAAGAATAAATTAGAGCCACACAAATATTACCAAATATAGTATGGGACAAATTTAGTGGGACAGACGGAAAAGGAAAAATGGGACAATTATAGTGGGACAGAGGGAGTATATTTCAAATATAATATTTTCATAAATCAACAAAATTTAGCCAATTCAGCCACTTCAACCAGAATTTAATAAATTTCTGCAGAATCAGCTGAATCAGCTGAATTTTGTATTACCAAACGGGCTCCTAATATTAATTTGTTTCTAAATAGTAAATACCATATATATAATTATATATATATAAATTATATATATAAATGTGCTTAATCACAGTGCTTTATTTGACAGGTATGCCGACTTTGTCAGCAGCAGGATGAGAGACTAACCTGTTCTGTTTGTGAAACACCAAAAAACCTTTGGGTCTGCTTGATTTGTGGCTTTGTTGGATGTGGAAGGTATAGTAGTTCTGTCTCCATCTTCTGATGTATGGGTGTCTGTTGGATCTTGTATTCGTTAGGAAAAGTCAATTGGAGTAGAGATCTGGATCTCTAAAAGTATTGGTGCCTTGTTCGACATGGATTTGAGTAATCTAGTTAACGTAGGTATGTAGAGAGGCATGCCATTAGACACTGGAGTGATACACAACATCAATATTCTCTGGAGTTAGAGACGCAGCAAATCTGGGATTATGTAGGAGACAAATATGTTCACCGTTTAAATCAATCAAAAACCGATGGCAAGCCAACTGCTATGACTTCTTCATGTCCTGCATCTGATAGTGAATGTGATGTTTTTCGGTATGATGATGAGGACCCAGGAGGTCTCAGTGGTGCCCTTTACAGCAGCAAAGTTGAAGCGGTAATTTCTTCGATTCAATGAGCGTAAAATATTTAGAAGTGTCTTGTATTGATCTTATCAGATTTGACAAACCTGCTAGTAATGGTTTGGTATAGTATGCAGTTATTTTTCCTTCTCTTTGCTTGAGAGATCTGTTTGCATTCTTTTCCTCCTTGCTATGACCTTTTATTTTTCCGCCTGCTACTCCTTAACATTGTGCGTAAAATATTTGTAAGTGTCTTGTATTGATCTTATCAGATTTGACAAACTTGCTAGTAATGGTTTGGTATAGTATGCAATTATTTTTCCTTCTCTTTGCTTGAGAGATCCGTTTGCATTCTTTTCCTCCTTGCTTTGACCTTTTATTAAATGTAGGTTGTGGATGAGTATAACCGCCTACTTGCCAGCCAGCTAGAGACTCAAAGACAGGTGAAGCGCAAATATCTTTTCAGTTATGTGTATCGCCGAATGTGTCACTATTTACTTCCCTCGTTCTCTTTTGGGTGTTGTTTCAACATATTTTTTGTCCATTTTAAAGTTTTTTCTTTTACATTTTCTACCATTTCCCTTCTCGATAAATATATTTTACATTTTCTCCCTTTTTTTAGTTTCTTATTGCTATGTAGTTTGGCCAAATTATATATTCAAAGAAAAAATGTTGCAACAAATGAACAAATATGAGATAAACACGAGTATAGTGCACAAATAATAGCATTCTTGTTTTATGTTAACATAAAAATAGGACTCATATAGTCCTAATAAAAGCATAAAAGAAATTAAAACATCATGCTTTATGCGTTAATGAATCCTAATTTGAAAAAAAACAATGATGGTCATATTTGAGGAATTGAGTTTTTTTTTATAGAGTGTTTGCCAATGCTTAGAATAAGCACTTTTGAGCTTTTAACTTAAAAAAAGCCAAAAGAAGTGTTTGCTAATACCTGATTTTGATTAAAAAAAGCACTTAAAAGCCAAAAGTTAGAAGCTGGTCCAATGATGCTTTTAATTGCTTCTCGGTTCTATTGTAAATATAACTCAAAGTCTAGTGGCAGTTATAATGGTCAATTATTTGACTTAACCCCAAAATAACCTTCACCACACCAGCCTTCTGTCGAGTGTCAGACAACTCCATAGTTCTCGATCTGCTTCCTTGGAGTTACATGAAAAAATTGGAGGCTTGATCTACAAAGTAACAGCTCAAAATCGCAGGTTTAAGGAAGTGTTTGTCGCCATTTGTTCAATTTTTTGTTTCTATAAAGCTGGGGCTGCTTGGCACTGGACAGATTCTCGAAAAAATAGTACTCAAGTTAAATGAGATGTATGGACTTTGAAATTATGTAGGGGTATTCTTGTACTCTTATAAAACATTCCATTTAAAATCACTTCTATTCCCAAACACTACCTACTTTTACTATAAATCACTTTTCAAATAATCTCTTAAAAAATCACTTTTAAAAAGCACAAGCAATCGCAAACACTCCCTTAGTCATTTTTAGGAAAGTTTCTCTTAAAGGAAAAATGAAAAGTGTTGTGGGGTCACAAATTCATCAAGTTTTTTTATGTAGTAATACTTTACCCATTTAAAAGCAACCCTCCCATTTATGTTAGAAAAGGGATAATTTAAATAGCATAAAAAGGGTAAATTGTGAAAAATATTTTATGTTCAATCATGAGAAATAGATAATCAGGTGAAAAAGGATAATACCTATTGAAGATCACGTGACTACGACCGTGACAAACTAGTCACGGACCAAATCCGTGACTATTGTCCGTGACTATTGTCCGTGACTACACGCGTGTTTTTTGTAGTGCAATACAAGTATCTATGAAACCATTATATTTCGACCCTTATTTAGCATCATCCAATGCTAAATGTTTTGTTTGAGTTGTTTGTTTGAAACGTTTAGCATATCCTTAAACATGAAGATAAGATGCGAGAGTCTCGGTTGCAATGGTTTGATCATGTGTGTAGAAGACTGAGTGATGCACATGTTTGGCAAATTGAGAGGTGTGGAACAGAGACGAGGAGGAGAGGGGAGAGGATGACCCAAACAAATGTGGATTAGAGTGGTCAGGAAATGGTATGATACTTCTTGGATTATGTGAGTATGACTTTAGAGAAAGCGAAGTGGAGAGAGAATATATGTGTGGAGGATTGATTTTTATTTTTTTATTTTTTAGCTCCAATTGCATATATCAATTGATGTGAGCCGACCCCAACCTTTTTGGGACTAAGGCTTGGATGTTGTTGGTCAATCATGATTAACATATATGAATAGTGGTATTTAAACATTCATAGATTTATTTTAGTCATATTTCCCAACTTAACCTTACACCAACATCCAAGTCTTAATCCCAAAAGAGTTCGGGGTCGGGTAATATGAATCGTTATATGAAATCGGAACTAAAAAGACAACAAAGATAAGATAAGATAAAAAAAGATAAGATAAGGATAAATATGATACAACAATAACAACATCCAAGCCTGGGTGCAATGTTTTTTTGGGATTGTCTAACATGAATCAGTACATGATATCATAGCCAAAAGGGAAAGAAAGATAAGACAAAAAAAAAGTTATGATAAAAAAGATAAGGGAAAACTATCAAATAGCTCTCCTATTATACTCAAAATGTCAATCAAATCCTCATACCTAAATTTCACCCAATTAGGCACTCCAACTTTAAAAAAAACATCCAAAGCCGATTTTTAGTGTGTCACCAACAGGTTTCCGATTAGGCGCTTACGTGGCCTCCCACATGGCATTTCCCCCCCTTTTGGTCAACAATTTGAGAGCACGTCTTCTTCATCAAACATCTGCGAAAGTACCCTCTTTCATCAAAGAGTGTAACAAAGCTTCTCAAAGCACAACACTTTTTCACCGCCTTTTAAAGGGTTACATGGATGGGAAAACTAACCGTGGAACCACCACTTGAAAGGGGTGCTCCTTTTGACGTAGTTCGTTATAATGTTTGGGGTGCTTGTCCAGTTGTGTCATAAGCTGGTTTTAAATACTTCGTTACCTTTGTTGATGATTATTCTCGTATGACGTGGTTGTATTTCATGAAACTCCGATCTGAGTTGTTCACTCATTTTTCTTCCTTTTGTGTTGAAATTAAAACTCAAATTAATGTTCATGTTCGGGTGCTAAGAGGAGATAATACCCAAGAATATTTGTTTGCTGCATTTAAGTCATATATGCTTTAACATGACATTATTAATTAAACTCAATGCGTTGACACACTTCCTCAAAATGGAGTTGCGGAACGAAAGAACCGACATCGGTTAGAAACTTCAAGAGATCTTTTATTCCAAATGAATGTGGCTAAACAGTTTTGATCCGATGTCGTGTCTACTGCATGCTTTTTAGTAAACCGTATGCCGTCTTCTATTTTGAATGGCAAAACTCCTTATCACTGTCTATGTCCAAATAAAGAGCTTTTTCCCATCCCACCTAAAATATTCTGTTGCATTTGTTTTTTGAGAGATGTTAACCCTCATCTTACCAAACTAGATCCCATATCATTAAAATGTATTTTCTTACGGCATTCTCGAGTTCAAAAGGGGTATAGATGTTTTTGTCCAAGTACAGGTCGTTATCTTGTTTCTATTGATGCATCATTTCATGAAAATACACCTTTTTTAGCATCTAAGCAGATATTCTTGAAGGTAATGATGATATACTCATTTACACGATGACTATACCTGAGTCCACACCTTCGACAATTATTCCCCAAGTTACTGTTCCCGACCCTAGGCCTCCAATACACTTGGTATACACCCGTGGACACAAAGCACCGGATCACCCCCGCCTGTGACACCTGTGACTACTTATCCTGATATTGGTCCGGCCTCGATTTGATGTCCTGAACCAATCCCGATAGCACTTCGTATCTTAACCTCCCGATAGCACTTTGTAAAGGTACATGGTCTTATACTCATCTTATTTCTTAATTTGTGTCGTATAGTCAATTATCCTCTGACTCACGTTCCTTTATTGCTTCCATGGATTATATTTTTGTTCCCAAATTTGTTAAAGAAGTTTCGTCTCATCCTATATGATGTCATGCCATGGTAAAGGAATTGAATGCTTTGGATCGTAATGGTACTTGAGATTTAGTCGACTTGCCTATAGGAAAGAAGTCTATGGATGTAAATGGGTCTTTGCTGTAAAGGTTAATCCAGACAGATCTGTTGCTCAGTTAAAAGCCCGATTAGTTGCGAAGGGTTATGCTCAAACCTATGGTGTTGATTATTTTGACCCTTTTTCTCCTGTTTCTAAATTAACATCTGTCAAGTTACTTATTTCACTCGCTGCAACTCATGGTTGACACTTACATGAGTTAGACATTAAAAATGCATTCTTGCATGGTGACCTTCAAGAGGAAGTTTATATCGAGCAAACTCTTGGATTTGTTGCTCAAGGGGAGTATGGGAAAGTTTGTCGACTTCAGAAGTCTCTTTATGGTCTTAAATAGAGTCCTCGTGCATGGTTTAGGAAATTCAGCCAATCAATTGAATGGTTTGGAATGATAAAAGGCCAATCAGATCACTGTCTTTTATAGACGAACAAAAGCAGGTATCACATTGCCCGCGGTGTATGTCGATGATATTGTGATTACAGGGAGTGATAATGCATGTATTTTAGCCCTTAAGAATTTTCTTCATAGTCAATTCTAGACAAAAGATCTTGGCTCATTTAAATACTTCTTGGGGTTTGAGGTAACACGGAGTAAGAAAGTCATATTTCTATCTCAACGTAAATATGTACTTGATTTGCTAGTCGAAATAGGGAAATTAGGGGCAAAACCGAGCAATACTCCCATGATTCCCAATGTGCAATTCACTCAAGAAGGCATGCCATTCGAAGATCCGGAAAGATATAGAAGATTGATTGGAAAACTTAATTATCTTGCAGTTACCGGTCCATATTTTGCGTACTCAGTGAGTGTAGTGATCCAACATATGTCATCGCCGACGGTTGATCATTGGAATGTTGTAGAACATATGTTATGTTATTTGAAGGGGACTCCGGGACGAGGTATTGTTTACCAAAATCATGACCACACAAGAATAGAATGCTTTGTAGATGTTGACTAGGCTGGATCTAAAGATGATTACAGATCTACATCTGGCTATTGCGTCTTCGTAAGTGGTAACCTAGTCTCCTGGAAAAGTAAGAAGCAAAATGTGGTTTCTCAATAGAGTGCTGAATAAGAATATCGTGCTATGGCACAATCAGCATGTGAGATAATCTAAATAAACCATTTATTAAGTGAAATCGGATTGAAGACACCAATGCATGCAAAGTTGTGGTGCGATAACCAAGCTGCTATACACATAGCAAACAATCCAGTATTTCATGAGAGAACAAAGCATATTGAGGTTGATTTCCATTTTATTTGAGAGAAGATACAAAAAAGATTGATCTCTACCGGATATGTGAAGACCGGAGAACAACTTGGAGATTTATTCACTAAAGCTCTAAATGAGATTCAAGTTGATAACTTATGTAACAAGTTGGGCATGCTATATATCTATGCTCCAACTTGAAGGGGAGTGTGAATAATGATGATGATGATGATGATGATGATGATGATGATGATGATAATAATAATAATAATAATAATAATAATAATAATAATATGCTTTAGGAATATACTTCAGATACTAGTAGTGTATAGCATCTTGTATGGAATATTCCACCTTTGTAATCTATACATAGGGCCTTTACCCTTCAATGGAAAATACATAAAATCTTTTTTCTCTCCAATATTATTCCATAGTTTATATGCTCTATTTCAACATTGGCTGTCAAGTTCTACCACAAAACGCTCCTTTATCTTGGTTGGGATAAACATGATACAAAAAAATGATCTTATGGCGGAGTTTCCTACATTAACCTTACAACAACAACAACATTACCCAGTGCCGCAAAGGTTCCTACCTACGGTGGAAAAATTTATTGCTTTCTTAGCATGTGCAAAAACATAATGACACTTAAAAGAAAGCGGATGGAGTACAGTCTCAGTTCTAAAATGCTTGTGTATAGAACCTCTAATAAACCGTGCTTGAATTTTAACTATGTATTCTTTCAGCATTATGAATCTTTACTAGCTGCGGCAAGAAGTGGAAAGGAAATCTCAGTATCCAAATCGGTGGCTAAGGCACTATTTTCAAAAACACACGACTTACAATCTAGAATTGAAAAGTGTGAGGAGGAAAAGAAGGCCGTTACAGATGTAAGTTTTTCATAGTGGACTCAAAAGTTCCAAAAAAGAAGACATTCAATGCAACTCAGTAATTGTTTTTGCGCTTTCTCTCTCTGCCTGCAACATGAACCTCTGGGTTGATTTAATCTTTTTTGCCTATTTAGAAGATCACTAAAGTATATAAGTGCGTTTTTATGTCAGAGAAACCAAGAACTTATGATAAAACAAGAACTTCTGCAGCAGAACTATAAAGAAGTAGAGAAAAGGTAAATTAATTTATTTTATTCATCACTAAAGTATATTTTGTTTATGTAAGAAGCTTTTAGTCTCTTGGTGTATCTTCATGCACGAACCATGATGCGCGTTTTAATCTTAATTAAACAAAAACTCATTTTAGCATAGAAGAAGTTAAGCCAATTACAATGTTGGTTGTGGATTGTACTTCCCTTTTGTTGTTTCTGAGGTTTCCATTGCTGTTTTTATCCTCTTGTTCTTAAGGGAAATACTGTTATTGAAGTCGAAGGATGAGAATATACAGGAGCTTAAAGAACAGGTAATTACATAAGATATCATGCTTCTGCGACCTTTAAACCTTCCTAATGAACTTATAAGTAAATACATTGTCTTTTATCGTTTGCAGATCAGAGATATAAAAGTCTACATTGAAGCCCAGAGAAGGCTTGCTAAGATGGGAGTTTCAGATGGAAAGGAAGGTACTGTTTTATCTGTAGAATCTAATCAGTCATCTTCAGGCGGTACCAGAAGGAGAACCAAGCAAGGGAGGAGACGATGATGACCATTCTAAATCTCTGTTTGTAGTAGCATTGAGTCTAAGTGGAGGCGGCCTGTTCTGTGCCCGACATGTTTTAATTTGAAAGCATTTTACAGGGTATATATTTTTAATTGAGTCCAGTTTGTATATATTTTTGTCTTTCATTGTGTGTTTCATTAACATGGCATCATGACAAGCAAGAAAGTTAGTCAAAAGCTCGTGATGGTTATAGCCCCCAGCTTGGTTTTCTGGTTGATTCGATTGAACCACTTTAGGCCCTTTATCACATATTTTTATTGTTATGATAATTCGAGAGTAACATTTAAATGTTCACTACTAGGTGGACTCGGGTCGGGCCAATCGGCCCGGAACCGGCCCAGATCGGTACTGTTTGTACCCGGCCCGGCCCGATAATCGGTCTAGGTGCCGGTTCGGGCCACCCAACCCAGTCCGAAAGCGGTCCGGGCTCGGGCTTGCATATAAGTGAACCGGCCCGGCCTGGTCCGAGCCACAACGGCCATATTTTTAATTTCTTTTTAAATAATTAAAGGCTTCTAGCCGTTGGGACTGTTCCCAAATGGCTCTATAGTCGTTGGGGGCATAGGAGGGGGGGGGGGGGGGGGGGGTTTGGGGGTATACAAAAAAACCTATTTATACTCTATTTTCTATACATTTTTTACACCTCTTCTTCTACAACTCTTCTTACTCTCTAATTCTCTATTCTCTCAATCTCTCATATTCAATCATCTTCATTCTTCATCTTCTCCAAATTCTTTCTACATATATATAATTTATATAATTATTATATCTACTTATATATTAATTATCTACTTATAAATATATACTTATATATACTTATATACATTCATATTATAATTCTTTACATATTATATATACTATATATACTTATACACATTCATATTTACTTGATATTTAGTTATTATCCATACTATTGTTATTTACTTATATTTACATATTACATTTAGTTAATATATACTTATATATATATATATATAGATTTAGGATCACATACAAAGTAATCTTAATTTACAAAGTGCAAATTAATCTAGGCCATCCATATGAATGAAATAAGGGTGTAGATGGTTTCCATATAGAGGTTAGAATCCTAAAAAAACTCCTAAAAAAACTCCCCTACCGTACGGCTCATTTATTAGTGTTCAAAACAACTCCTAACAAATCCTACCATTGATTTCATAATATTGGACGGATGAGATGAATTTGCATTTTGTAGCGGAAGCACACTTTGTATCCGATCTTAACCCTATATATATATATATATTAAAGTATTAAGTATAAGTGTATTACTCATCTTATAGTAATATACTTATATATTATATACTATAAACATTATATTATATATTACTTATAATACATTTACACATTATATAAACTATATATACTTATAAACATTCATACATTTTATAAAAGTAGTTAATTGTTAGACTTCTCATTTATCTATTAAATTAGTTAATTGTTACATTTCTCTACATTTCTCTTTAAAGAAAAAAAAATTAATTAATTGTTACATATCATTTTTCATTTAATATTAGTTAAACTAGTTAATTGTTACATTTCTCATTAAAGTAAAAAAACTAGTTAATTTTTACATTTGTCATTTTAATATTAGTTAAACTAGTAAATTGTTACATTTGTCATATTAATTTTAGTTAAACTAGTTAATTGTTACATTTGTCATATTAATATTAGTTAAACTAGTTAATTGTTACATTTCTCATATTAATATTAGTTAATTGCTACATTTCTCATTAAAGTAAAAAAAAAACTAGTTAATTTTTACATTTGTCATATTAATATTAGTTAAACTAGTTAATTGTTACATTTGTCATATTAATATTAGTTAAACTAGTTAATTGTTACATTTCTCATATTAATATTAGTTAATTGCTACATTTCTCATTAAAGTAAAAAAAACTAGTTAATTTTTACATTTGTCATATTAGTATTAGTTAAAGTAGTTAATTGTTATATTTGTCATATTAATATTAGTTAAACTAGTTAATTATTACATTTCTCATATTAATATTAGTTAATTGCTACATTTCTCATTAAAGTATTAATTAGAAGTAGTTCGATTTTTTTTTTCAAGGAAAACAAATTGTTTCATTTGATATACTCATATTTTAGTTCGAATTTGCTATAGTTTTCTTAGTCACATTTTATTATTACTATTGTACTCATAAAATATTTGATAGCATTTAATATTTGTTCAATTTTAAAGATGGACCGTGGTAGACATTCTGTAGATATGGGTAATCTCCAATGTAACCGCAAGAGGGAGATTGCGGCGACTCGTCCTACTTCACGCAAAGGCAAAGGTAAAGCGCGAGCCGAGTCTTCTTTTCAAAGTCGAGATGATTTTGAAACGGATTACCAACGGAGAGATGATATGGCGATGTCCGACGAGCAACTACAAAACCTATTGTCCCAAAATGATCCACGCTTTGCACAAGAACAACAATTCCCGACAACCATTGACGAAGATGAGCTCGAGGATGAGGATGCGGAGGAGGACGAAGGCCGGGGGGGGGGGGGGGCGATGGCACCCCGGATGATGAGCAAGAGTTGGAGGACGAGGGGGTTTCATCCCAAATTGGTAAGAAATCTAAATCTCCTGTTATTGAAAACAATTTTACAAAAAGGAAAGACAAAAATACCGATAAATGGTACGCAAGTTGCAATCATTGCAACAGAGAGTATAGCTTGGGAACTTCTGGCGGATACGGGAGTCCGACAAGGCATCTTAAGTCCGCACAATTTGTGGAGTATGCGAAAATAGACAAAGGCAAGGGGAAGCAAACACAAATATCGAGGTTTGCAAATTCTTAACCCTTTGTGATTTCTCCTATGATGATAAAAACATTTGACTAGTATGTCTCATTTAATTGTTGAAGAAAATTACCCAATATTTTTTCCGAAAGTCTTGCTTTAAGAGATTGTGCTCAAGGTACTTTAAATCCTCAATTTAGAAATTATAGTCGCAAAACGATTAAAAAAGAAGTTATAAGGCAATATAACTTGGAAAAAGAAAAATTACAAACATTTTTCGCAAACTTTGATGGACGTGTTAGTATATGTAGCGATATATGGGAGGATACTTATCATCATTTATATTATTTGGGTCTTACTGCACATTATATTGATGATGATTGGAATATGCATAAACGTGTTCTTGCTTTTCGTGAATTCAATGATCGTCACACTGCTGATAATATTTATATTCTCATTGAGCGTATTTTAATTGAGTATAATTTGATTGATAAGGTGTTTGCTGTAGGTTTTGATAATGCTAATAATAATACTGTTGTTATACCTAGATTGCGTGAATTGTGTGGTGCTTCTACATTGATGGCTAGGTTTTTTCATCAACGTTGTGCATGTCATATTCTAAATTTGTGTGTACAAGATGGGTTAGCGGCATTAGGAAATGCTTTGGAGGTAGTGAAGGGGGGAATTAAATTGATTTGGGCTAACACTTCACTAAAAATGCAATGGCGGCAATATTTGAAGGATAGACGTGTCAATTATTGTGCTTTTCCTAAAGATTTGTCTATTCGTTGGAATAGTACTTATAACTTAATTAAAGTACTTATTAGATATAAAGATCATTTTCCTGCTTTTTTAAGACAATCTTGTAACTATATTATAAACCCGACTGACATCGACACTTGTGAAAAAATTGTTAATGTTTTGGTATATTTTAATAACGCAACTCAAACTTTTAGTCATGTTTATATACCTACCGCAAACGAATTTTTTGTTGAAGCTGTTAATCTCGCCGGCGCTTTTTGTGAATTTTCCGATGCCGCTTACGTTAGTTATTTTTGTGATTTCATGAAACAAAAGTTTTTAAAATATTATTCACATATTCCGCATATATATGATATTGCATTTGTTCTTGATCCTCGTTATAAACTTTCTTACTTGGGAACTTGTATAGTAAATTACTATTATGCTTCTTTTTTCCAACTCAAGAGTTCGATGATAATCCCATAGACCCTAAACAAGAATTCAACGAGGTTAGTAATTTATTTCATCAATTGTATAATGAATTTTATGCACAATATAGTAATGCACCCCCTCCCATGCCGCGAACATCTTCTTCATCTAAAGGAAAATCACTTTTAAAATCTGATTTTGGTTCTCTTTTGAAAAAAAGTAGAGCAACTCCTGCTACTGAACAAAGCTCAGTTAACGAGCTTTCTTTGTATCTAACATTGAATGTTGATTGTGAAGTTGGGGATGACTTTGACGTTCTTAAGTGGTGGAAGGAAAATGAAAGAACGTTCCTGATTTTACCAAACATGGCTAAGCAAGTGCTAGTAATGTCGATATCAACAGTTGCCGTGGAACAAGAATTTAGTGCGGCCGGCAACGTCCTAACCGATTATAGAACGAGGTTGAGCCCGAGCTCTCTTGAGACGCTAGTTTGCTTCCACGATTGGTTGAAGGCCCAACGAAGATCTCAAGAAATGACCATCGCTCCCACCCGCCACTTTATGGAGGAAACAACCACCGAAGGAGGAGATTCCGATTGATTATTTATTACAAAATTTATTACATTTATTAAATTCATCCTAATTCTCAATTGTACTTCTTATTTGAAAAAAATACACTTGAATTTTTTTATATTATTGTGTACATCAATTCAATAATCAACAAAATAATTTATTCAATAATCAATTCAATAAAATTAATTTGTAAACTTGTACTTCATATTTCAAATAAATATGCGTTCATTTTTTCATATTTAGCACTTCTCAAATTAATTAATTGGTTACAAACTTACAACTTAAAATTATTTTTCTAAAATCTAAAGGCTGTTTTTAAATTAAAAATACATTTACAATATGTAATTTGTTTAAATACTTATACACCTATTTTGTAACATTTGTAAATTATAAATCAAACCACTTTTCTAAGTAAAAATAGCTTTACTTAATTCATTAAATTAATTAACTTATTTTACAATATGTATAATTTTCAAAAAAAAATTAAAAAAATTTAAAAATACAAAACAGCTCCCAAACGGCTATATAGCCGTTGGGGCTTTGGGTGGGGGGCAGGGGGGGTCCTAGGGGTGGGGGTGTGGAGAGTGGGGTTCAAAAAAATCTATAAATACATCTATTTTCTACCATTTTTCTACACCTCTTCTCCAACTCTTCTCCATCTTCATCTTCTCTTATTATCCTACATTCCTACTTATACATCTACCATTTTAAAGATGGAAAGTAAT